CTTACATTGTACTTTGTGCGGTTGCAAATTTTCCTTACTGTACCCTCTTGCTTGCTTATTCTAAGTAGAATTGTGAACAGAAATATATCATTAGGTTTATATATTATGATACTGATAAATTCTAAGCGACGAGCGAGTGTTACGTGTTAAATCAGGCTCACTGACACTGTGTTCATGTTTACTTCTCACTGACACTGTGTTCATATGTACTTCTCACTGACACTGTGTTCATGTTTACTTCTCACTAACACTGTGTTCATGTTTACCTCTCACTGACACTGTGTTCACGTTTACTTCTCACTGACACTGTTTTCATGTTTACTTCTCACTGACTCTGTTTTCATGTTTACTTCTCACTGGCACTGTGTTCATGTTTACTTCTCACTGACACTGTGTTCATGTTTACTTCTCACTGACACGGTGTCCATGTTTACTTCTCACTGACACTGTGTTCATATTTACTTCTCACTGACACTGTTTTCATGTTTACTTCTCACTGACATGCCTAGGCCCGCATTAAAACGTTTTTATGCTGCCAATGAAATTCTGTGCTCACGCCCAATTTGGAGACTTCAAGCCGGATACAATTTTAAATGTTTAAACTTTTTTGACTGTGTCATATATATTAACTTCTACAATTATGAAACAAGTTATGTCAACCCGGATGTTAGCGTGTGTGGGTATCAGTGTGGGAGGAAACCTGAGAAAACTCACATGGTCGGGCAGGTAACTATGGTGACTGATTTATATGGTGGAGGCTGATTTCTGCCATTTCGTTGTTTGGTTTTGTTGCCTCGACAGAACGATAATCTTCGTCTTTTCGCCCCCGCTAATTATCGTCAATTCCTAGCGACATAACGAAAAGACGCCATAACTCAACGCGAAATAACGAAACGTGAAGTCAAGTCTGTTATTCTGCAAGGCTTATAAGACAAATTACATGTGTACAATACAGTTATTATATAACAATTACATACATAGCATTCATGCAATTGTACATGTACATGTAGTAAGGAGAGTAATACATACCAGACATATATATATATATAAGACTAGGATACTCGGGAACGTTGCTTAAATGCGAAATGTATGAATTTTCCTAGATTATTTAGTTCTTGAACATAATTTACACTAAGTAATTGTATAAGTTTAAACACACTTGGTTTGCGATAATAGTATGGCTTTAAGTATTTAGAGCGTATGTTGCAATAAAATGGACACTTCAAAATAAAGTGAAATTCGTCCTCTATATCATTGAGATCACATAGTTCATATAACCTTTCGGTCCTAGCAGTATTCGTATATCTCCCACTTTCTATCTTAAGGTTATGTGATGATAATCGAATACTAGTTGATACAATGATCCTTTGGACGAATTTCTTATATTTGACAATATTTCTTGAGTATGAATATCATAAAATTTGTGTTCTATAATTTCATACATAACCTTACTATCATAGTTGCTGTTCCATAAATACCCCAATCCTAGTAAATTCAGTTCTTGTCTTATTTTCATAATCCAGTCATCATTATCTAGATTTTTTTGTTCGTAACATGCTTTGAGTATATAATTGTTTGAGTCTTTGACTTTGATCCAATATTTCAATATTTTCAATTTTCTTGCAACATGCATCGGAAGTCTGCCTATTTCAAAATATACCAAGGTCATTACATGTTTTCTTACCAACACCTAAAATATTTTTACAAAAACAAGTATGTACTTTTTCAACTTCCAACGCTCTGTGAAAACCCCAAATTTCACTCGCATGCCCTAGTACACTGCTAATATACGTATCAAACACTGAACATAACGTTTGAGTGTTGAAATTGTGGTTTCTTATTTTGTTATATAAAGCAAAATATGCCTTTCGTCCTTTTTCGGCAGCATGTAGTTGCGTTTTATTGAATTTTCCATTGAAGTTAAAAAGCATGCCTAGATAGTTAAACTCTTTCATTTGTTGCAATTCATTATTGTCATAGTACCATTTTTCTTCATTTCGCACAATCCCTCCATTTCTAAATATTACTACTTTGGTCTTTTCGATATTAAGTGTGAGTTTCCATTCCTTATTGTATGATAACAATGCATCTAGCATATGTTTTAGTTTTTGAGGTGATTCCGCAATTAAGACTGAATCATCAGCATACATTAGCAAAATATGGATATCATTCCTAACTCGACAGATGAACAGTTTTGATTTATAAAATGCATTTCACAATCATTCACAAAAAGACTATACAGAATCGGTGAGAGTTCTTCCCCTTGAAAAAGACCGATCTTGTTGTTGAAATACTCTGATGCACCTCCATTATATTTTACACACGATTTGACATTTTCGGGCATCTGTGATAATCGAATGTTCTTTATCCCATTTGAGAAGTCTCCTATTTAATACGGACGTAAATAACTTGCCCATACAGCTTGCTAGAGTTATACCTCTATAATGTCCAACAAAGTTTACATCACCTTTCTTGTGTATTCGAACGTATAGCCATGTGACCATACATCAGGGGAAAACCCAGAGTCAAACATTTTTGTAAAAAGTTTGATTATACATAGCAACATAATTTCCTCGCAATCTATAAATACTGTATCACACACTACAGGTGTATCATTGTCTACAGTATCTTCACTGCAACCTATGTCTCTTTCCCGCTAATTATCGTCTTTTCGGCGCGAAAAAAACGATAATTATCGTTATGTCGCCCCGCTAAGTAGTTGTCATTACAATCCTTAGATACAGATACGGAACTTGATACATATATTTCGCAATAACAGCATATCCAGTGAACAATCGATCTGTCTGCGTCTCAGGTATCTGTGTCGCTTCGTTCACCTTTCACAACAACCCGATAATTTCATCACGATAATGACCTCAATGTACCAAACGTCCTGGTTGTTTTACTTCCTGGTCCGAGCTTATCGTCAACGGACGGCTTGACCTTTTCCTATTGACGGCCTTGTCGACCGATCCGATAACGACGTCACATTGAGGACAGACAACCAAAGAATGGCCGAGACAACCTGTTTGATAAACTTCTTTGTAGTGTCGTCTGCTTAAGTTTGGAGTACGGCAACCCATTAGCTATACTAGGCATACCTGCACCCGAAGGTACGACAGAAAGTCCTGTGTTGTTTTGGGTCCTTAGTAATCAGTTTTGAAGAGGTCTTAAACGAGTAGACAGTGAAGACCTTAATATTATCTACAAGATATGTTGATAGTTAGATGCATGCGGATATACCAAATATGTCGTGAAGATTTATTGTACTTTGCATTTAAAAAAAATGTTCGGGCTTTAGCGTGCTCACAATCGTCAGAGGTATTTGAATGTAAATAATTCTTTAGAATGTTAATGATGTGAATTTCGCTTTTTCTGAGTTTTCCCCGATGACTTCTGAATAGCCTTGTCATAAATAATTATATGGCACAGCGATACCTGGTTTTGATTCATCACAGCACACTCCGATATTGGTATCAGCTACGTATGTATATTTATAGACTGGAGTATTTGACGTTTGTATTTAAATCTTGTTTTACGTTTAATTAAACAGTCATACCTGAATTATAACACGTAGCTCTACGTAACCCGTACGAAAAAGGCCGTGATTCGATGCTGGTTTTTTTCTTATTTTATCTGGAACACTAGCATTTGTCAACGCAACGATACCGCGTCAGCTCCCTAAGGTCTCTGTTCATTTGAATCGGAAATCATACCGTCGTGTGCCTGTGTCTACAGTAAACATTGCCAAAGTATACGATACAAGAGCGTGGTTGAAAAAATAAACAAAATAAAGGAATTTAATTAAATTGCTATTTGTGAACATATCTCATATTTTTAATCAAGATTTCTATGGAAAAATGTTTATTTTTAGCAATAATAGTCATGCGTAGTGCACTTAATTAAATATGATCCACGGTATTGCTCCTATATTATATGTGATCGGTATTGCGCCTTATATTCAATTTCATAATACGTTCTCAATGCACAACACAATGTGCCGTATAAAACCTTGTTTTAAGAACATTATTTGAAATGTACAAAGTGGTTTGAGCAAAAAAAGAGAATATATTTATGCGATTTGAAATTAAAACTTTATGAATGGAGAGATATACACATTGAAGATGCTTAGAGGGTATCTTCTCATACTTTTTGGTCTCCGCTCAAAATCACTTACTAGCTTCAAAAAGGAATAACGATATGGGGCGAGCCAATGAGGTCTCTTGTTCCGACTGCACGTGAGCGTCGCCTGTCGCCATCTGTCATACATGTATGTTTACATGTATGCGTTTTTATACCTTTGTTCCCTACAGCATTTCCTGTCAATATATTGTGTCTTCATAATAAGAGTTATAAATATTTTACTGCGTTTGAAGTTCATATTTTATTTGTGTGCATAAAATCATATCTGTTGTTTTACGATGTTACATGAATAAGATTGCATTTGATGAATAAACTGACCCACGCGACTTTCGTGACTTATACTCCGATGGAATAGGTGCTCCGGAGTGAATTCTAGGGGAAGTCAACGTTTCCTGTGTATTTAAGGTATTATTTCTAGGAGAAATATGACAGAGCGAAATTTGATAAGAATTGGATTTATTAGTTCGAAGTAGTTCTCCTTTGGGATACAAAACTGTCCTTGTGTTTAAAGGGATTATTCAAATAATCTTTATTCTGACTTACGCTGATTGAGAGGAGTTTTGGTAGTGGCTATAAGTTCGTATCGGTAAAGTGAACTACATAAGCTCGTTAAATGGGCGCTAGATAGATCACTCACCAAAATCCATTATCTTTCCTCAACGCTTTTCACAATATTCTTCTCTGCTTTAAAATGGGCACTAATTTCCTCCGCGTACCTCTGGTGCTGTCGAGTAAACAGGAAGTCCCATGGTACTCATAACAGGTCAGGTAATAAGCATAAGCGTTTGTAAGCCTTAGTGGAAAGGATATTTATGGGCTGCCGTACAAAAACAAGAGAGAGAGATAACGGATGCGGACACGAGGTGTAATCTTTGAGCCTATAAAAAGGCCATTCACCTCGTCTGATCATAAACACAAGTTGCAGACATGGAGTTCGGTAAGTAAAAGATCTAATATTTCAAAGAATGTATCAAGCAATATTTTATCAATACATTTGAAATTCTATCCTAGGTATTATTTTGGTATTTTTTACCATATGATGTCTTAAATTTCATCTGAAAATAGCCTATTTTGGTAAGATGTAGTCTCGAATTTTTCATCTTCAATTTGTCATGGTAGAACTGGTAATTTTATGTGCAGATGTAATCTTATACGTTGACCCGACCGTCTTTCGAATAATTAGGGAATAACACTATTTTGTGATTTGAGATGATACATCTCGATATATCGTGATTATACTGTCGCAGTTGCCAGTAAAACTCAATTTGGGACAGTATAATCAAAGATATACCCGCCACAAATTTAGTTACCTTCATTCTAACTCATATAAGCTAAACCCATCAGAAGAAAAAACGATTTGTAGATATTTTGAGCGTTTTCTTCAAAATCTGGGTCACTCTGTCGTGTATTAATATTGGTGACGTCAAAAGTTACCTTTCGGGGTCACGCTATTATTCGCGACGTCATGAATTAGTCAGGATCATTGACGTCATTCAAAATCGCCGTCCGGGCTTCATATGCAAACGAGAATGTGGTTATACCGTCGCAAATTATTTTGATTGACCAATCAAATACCTTGATATATCTCAAATGAATTAGAACATACATTTGTTATTCTAATCAAATTTCAATACGACAGGTCATTAATGTTTACAAAACAACATTTTCGTACCAATTAAAGGGAATTTATTTATAGGTTATGGACATTTGTTGAGATTAATATTAGGTTTTGCCAGGTTAACACAACAACATAGACCCACAGATAAAGTCCATACATCACTTGAGCAAAATACTAGCCATTGAGAACATGTGCTGCTTTTATTTATTTTTCCAAAGTCAAATACCGGAGACAGTTAACACTTCACGTGTAATGTTAACATCACCCCGAGGAAGTGAATCAAGAGAATTTGTATTACTGTGATGTAATTTCCTTAATATATTTGTACAGTTTCATGCTAAACTAAAGGTCCCCTTTTTATTTCATGCAGATTTACATTATCGGTAAATTGTTATGAAGTAAATTGCAAGGATTTTGAGACAACATGAAGGGTCAATTGACATAATACATTTAAACGAAAAGATAAAATCGTTTTACGCATGAAGTAACTGGTTCCGGTGTATGCAAATGTACACAATGGTTATTAGCCTTTAACGAAAAATGTATCGCTAGTCTTGATTTCAGATCAGGCGATTAAGAAGATGCATATCTACTGTCTCTTGTCAGCACTTGTACGATGTATTATTTTCTTTATACTTTTTATACTCCGTTTTAGATCAGGTGCATGGCCGATAGGAGGTAACTGGTATTTGTAACTCCAGTTTCGTGTGAACTCGTGTATTAGTAAACGTAGCATTATGCTACGTTTACATTATGTTCCCGGCAGCCACGGCAGTCCCGTTTGCCCGAAACGTAGTGCTTCATGGGATTTTGAACATTTTTTCTCTGAATTCAAGTCTTGGCAAGTTTTCCCACGGTCTGTCACGGTATCCATGACAGGCCGAGGGGGAAAGGGGCTGCTGAGTCCCGTAGGCTCCAAGGCGTACTACGGTTCGGCCCGCGGTCTACCACGGATGCCAGTACGTTCCCTCTAAGCCTGTCACGTTCTGATGGGGTCCCTCACGTTTCTCACGTTCTGATGAAGGTCCGACACGTTTTTCACGTTCTGTCAAGGCTTTCCACGGATGAAACGTGGACACCGGGCAGCTTCGATGCACGTTTGTGCCGAAGAAGGCCTCACAAGCAAAAGCAATCATTATATCCTGAGACGAATCGACGAGATAACATCATGAATTCCCAAGATGAAGAAGATTTTGTGTACGAAACTTAGTGCACCGTGGGATTTTGGCTTTTATATACTCCATCCGCGCGCCATGTCAGACCTTATAGAACGCAACGCGCCGGGCCCGCAAACCGTCACACACCGGGACGCGCCGGATTAAACGCGACGAAACAGCTACCATACACTATAGCTTGCCATGAGAACCGTGACAAAACGTGGTAAAACGGGACAAAACGTGCAGCAACCGTGAACCAACCGTGCTGTGAACCAACCGTGACAGAACGCGGACTAAACGCGATAGAACTCGACAAAACTTGAAAGGACCGTGAGATGCCGGGAAATACACATGCTTCCCGTCCCACTACTGACCGCCTCCAAGTTTTATTACGGCCTATTACGTACTGTCACGTTTTGTTGCGTTCACCCGGTTTTACTACGGCCTACTAGGTTTCTCATGCGCACCGTGACTGCCGTGGCAATTTTTTTGACAGTTAAAAATCTGCCCCGGAAACCACGGCAATTACGGCCTGTCACGCTGGCCCATCCCGTCCCCTCGCGTTATCTCACGTCCATCCCGTTTTGTCCACGTTGGCCTGAAACGTAATTGCCGTGGCCACCGGGAACATAATGTAAACGTAGCATAACAACCAATATGTTGTGCTCGGCCTCCAAACAGGAACCGTTGGCGCTTTCCGTAAACGACAATTTCAAACAAATATTTTCTCGTTTACGGAAAGTGTCGACGGTTTCCGGTACGTTCCGACTCCAGCTTACATTGCGTATCTACTGATTTCATTTCAGTAATAATTACCATAACTTTAGTATGCATATACAATACCTACACCCATCTTTGTAGCCCAAAAACAACAGATTCAAATATCCCTACCTCCCTACCGTGACGTAACCCATATCTCGATGACAGAGCCACGGAGTGATCTCCCTTCCTCTTCCTTTTATGGCGCCTGCTGCCTGCTGACGCCCGGAGCTTGCTCCATTTCAAAACTTTGTTTTGTCGGTTTGGTTTGAGTGTCAACTCAATTTTTTGCGCAGTTTGTGTGCCTTATACCCATCTGCCCTTGTAAATATAATTAATTATTGTTGAAAAAAAAAATTGTGCCTTTTACGGCCGGTTATTTTACTCCACGTGTGCCGATGGTGTGCCACGGTCCGCCATTATCTTGGGTTAATTTCCGACCTCTGTTTATTTCGGTGACGTTTGTTTGTTTCGGCAAACGTTATTTATTTTAACCGTTTTCTGATTTATATTACAGGTGAAATTCTTTCTACGTTGCGTACTTTGTACTATCGTATTTTATTATTTTTTCCGGTTTGGTTTGAGTGTCAACTCAATTTTTTGCGCAGTTTGTGTGCCTTATACCCATCTGCCCTTGTAAATATAATTAATTATTGTTGAAAAAAAAAATTGTGCCTTTTACGGCCGGTTATTTTACTCCACGTGTGCCGATGGTGTGCCACGGTCCGCCATTATCTTGGGTTAATTTCCGACCTCTGTTTATTTCGGTGACGTTTGTTTGTTTCGGCAAACGTTATTTATTTTAACCGTTTTCTGATTTATATTACAGGTGAAATTCTTTCTACGTTGCGTACTTTGTACTATCGTATTTTATTATTTTTTCCGGTTTGGTTTGAGTGTCAACTCAATTTTTTGCGCAGTTTGTGTGCCTTATACCCATCTGCCCTTGTAAATATAATTAATTATTGTTGAAAAAAAAAATTGTGCCTTTTACGGCCGGTTATTTTACTCCACGTGTGCCGATGGTGTGCCACGGTCCGCCATTATCTTGGGTTAATTTCCGACCTCTGTTTATTTCGGTGACGTTTGTTTGTTTCGGCAAACGTTATTTATTTTAACCGTTTTCTGATTTATATTACAGGTGAAATTCTTTCTACGTTGCGTACTTTGTACTATCGTATTTTATTATTTTTTCCGGTTTGGTTTGAGTGTCAACTCAATTTTTTGCGCAGTTTGTGTGCCTTATACCCATCTGCCCTTGTAAATATAATTAATTATTGTTGAAAAAAAAAATTGTGCCTTTTACGGCCGGTTATTTTACTCCACGTGTGCCGATGGTGTGCCACGGTCCGCCATTATCTTGGGTTAATTTCCGACCTCTGTTTATTTCGGTGACGTTTGTTTGTTTCGGCAAACGTTATTTATTTTAACCGTTTTCTGATTTATATTACAGGTGAAATTCTTTCTACGTTGCGTACTTTGTACTATCGTATTTTATTATTTTTTCCCGTGTTATCTGCTTGTAATTTTTTGTTTACGTTCGCTTTGGAGGGTATGTCTCGGTCGGGACAGCGACGAGGTAGAGCTCATGGGTGTTCCCATTTCTTTGTGGAACGGGACCCTCATGATGCTTGTCCCAGGTGTCGTCCTTGCAGTAAGGTTTCGCCTTGTGAACTTTGTTCACAGACTAAATCTCAGGACAAGGACTTCATTGTTCCAAAGCTACACTCAACTTACCGTAAGAGATTCGTCTGTTTCTTCCGGTAAGCGAGGGAAGCAGAGAGGTANAGGGCATTGAGAGCGTTGGCAGCTTTACAGGTGTCATCGCTCGTCAATGTCTTGTTGGATAGGCGGTTTTCAGTTTTGAAAAACCGCCCGGTCGATGAGCCTTACCGCTCCAGATTGTTGACTGCCCCCTTCTCAGGGTCCACTCTTTTTGGAGGGGCCCTTCCTTCTCATCAGAAGGGTTTGAAGGAGGACTCGGTCGCCTCTGCACTTCTGGTGAAGAGGATTCAGGCTGAGAAGGCAGTACCTCGCAGGGGTCAGCGCCTCCTAAGAAGAAGGCCCTTCAAGGGCAACAAATGGAAGGGTAAGAACCCTCCTGGGGGTAAGAAGAAGGGNATGGAAGGGTAAGAAGGGTGAGAACCTTCCTGGGGGTAAGAAGAAGAGTTCCTGACTCTCTTCTTCCCTCCTTGGTCGTGTCAGACGACGAGTTTGGCCGGGAGGACTGCAGTCCTCTCGGCTCAAGCTTAGGTCCTTCTCCCGCAGGATTAGGCTTCGGGTCAGCAGACGGTTCTCTTGCCTGGCAAGGTCTCGATCTGCCTCGACCAGATCTTCCTGTGGGGGGTCGTCTTTCTGCTTTCCTTTCAGAGTGGAAGGAAATTACGGAAGACGCATGGGCCT